CAGTGGGAGGCAGGCAGGGGGGTGGTGCTCGCAGCCTCTAGGATGGCTGATGAAGAGGACACAGGCAAGCTCTCCTTGTTGTCAGAGTTGGAGTTTCAGGTATTTCCACCCTTTGTTTGGGTATCAATGTCCCCACTTACAGGGATTATTGATCATTCATAGTTGCCACAGTGAAACTGCTGTGCTTCTCTGGCCAGAATTTTAGAATGAGCTCCCTTTAAAACCATTTCACTATTTTTAATGCTATTTTTTAAGACTAATCACTGACAATGAGAAGAGTTTAAAATAGAATTTTAGGCTTTCAGATTTTAATGGGCCTAGAAAAACCCCATTGTTAACTCAGAAGCAGCTGCATACGTCTAAAAAATCACTGAGATTTGGCAGGGGTTCTTAAGAAACTTGAAGCTCAGCAAAAAGTTAAATAAATTATCCTTGAAAATTTCCCAAATGCTCAGGAACTAACTTCCAAGGGAATTTTGTCCACTCAATTAATTGTGTAATACCAGCCTTCTAACAGCAAATTTATGGAACCGACATTTGAAATAGTCCCTGAACGCACAAAGCTGGAGCTACCAGTCACCGCAGCCACCATCCAGACTGCCCAGTGAGAGACCTGATGCCTCTCCTTTTGTCTTCTTTCAAGTGGAAACCTAGAACGGTGTGCTAGTCAGTGCGATGGCATTCAGGAGTTCCCAGACCTGGCTTTATATCAGAACCTCCAGGGAGCTGTAAACAAAGCCACGCTGGAGTCCCACCGCAGACCAACTAATCAAGGTGGGAGCAGGGTATGGCATCTGGATGCACCGCGCTCCCCAGGTGATTGTCACGTACAGCCAGAGCTAGGTGCCACGGATGCAGACAGTGACATTTAGTAGATCAGATAGAAAAGATAATGTGAGTGCATCTCCGAGCACTTGATTTGACATCTGTTTTCTGACAGTAAGTGTCAACAAACTAGAAACGTGCTTCAAGAGACAGAAAGCTATGCTACCATATCTTGAAAGTGACCAGGCCAATAGGTTTCTTTTCCATCAATACTTGGGAACCTTACAGTTTCTAAATAGGAAAGTACCGGGACATGGTCCTAAAAGGGGTCCTCATCCCAAGGCTGAGTAGAGGTCTAGTAGAATCTGCAAAAACAAGTCTACTTAGGTCAAGTGTCACTGCAGACTGATGACAACAGCAGCGGCAAGTATTCCTGCAGCTGTGGTGATTCCTGCCAGCTATCGAACACTTAATTCTCATGACAGTGCTATGGCCAAATGTCTTTATACCCCTCTTGCAAATGAGAAAACTGGGACTCAGAGATGTTGGATATTGTGCCTAAAACTCAAGGCCAAATTTCAAGTCACAAAACTCAACTGCAGCCGGCTCCAGTGAACACCCTCCAGCCCAGCTTCCTGCCCCGCCCCCCTCCTGTGGGCTTGTGATATCTGTTGTTAGTAGTGACCTGCTTTCCTCCCCTTTGCTTGCCTCAGCTAAGGCTCAGCCATCAGAAAGGGCTAGTGTCTAGAAGAAAGCTGTCTCAGTCCCATCCAGGACCCAGCTAAAACAGGCAGTCAGTGGAGTCAGCATCCTAAGTCAGTACAAACAAAGTCAGGAGCCCTAAGCAGTGCCCATTTCCCTTCCCCAGAAATGATGCAGGAGCAGGGATGGAGCATGAGGTGTGTGGGCGTGGATCTGACACACCCAGGGAGGCCCTGGCAATTCAATACCCACACTTTAGGGCCTGCTAACAGATGACAGAGACCAGGCCTAACAAGTGCAGGTGGTGAATCAACCACTATTTGTTGTTGAGAAGAACCACGTGGGCCTCACTGAAATCCTCTCCCCTGTGGTTTCTGGCTGGAACAAGAAGAAAATGGCTGGCAGCCATAGGAGGCCCCAGGGAAACCCCAGCGGCATTGCTTTTCCAGAAGGTCTGGGCTGCAGTGAATGTATTCAGGGAGGCTCACTTCCTCATCTGGAGGAGACTTGGGGCTCTCTTTTTAAGTCAGTTACATCCCAACATGGTTCCCACAGCCTGAGATTTATGTCTTTATTTCCAACCCTAGTCATCAGGGCTCAAGGACTCTGATGTCTCGGGAAATACCCGAGCCTCACTCCACCGGAGACCCCAGCGCTTGGCAAAATGAGTCCAACAAAAAACAAGGGTGCACTACAGAAGTGTGTGCCACCAGATCAAATGTCAAGCTGGTTACACAGGATGAGTCGCATATCACTGTGGTAGCAGAAACCACAATGCTGACATTCCAGAGATACCGTATAGCTTTATGGGGTTTGGAGCCCTGGTTACAAAGTGAATTCTGAGGATCTACAACCTTTAAAGGGAATTTATTTCCTTGAATATATCACTAAGTAATGCACCTAAGTGCTCTGAACATTTGTAACCCTCTGCACCTTGTTCATGCCATTTCCTCAGCCCGAAAAACTCTCTCCACTTTCGGTAGCCCAAGGTGGCTCATCTCAGAGCTCAGCAGGACCACCAGCTCTTCCATGGGGCCTTTCCTACATTCCCACCAGCCTGCATTGCTGCACTGTCTGGGCTCCCACAGCAGACTGCTGGCCCTTGATTATGGTACCAGCTTGTCCACTGTCTTACACTAAGAAAGCGCCTCTCCATCTTCCCTCCATGGCAAGGTCTCCAAAAGCAGAGGCGCTAATTGTCATCACATGGTCAGGTTCTTCATAGACAATGGCAGGACACAGGAAAGGCTGGGCTAAGACACAGGAGTGGATCCTCAGGACTCCCAGAAGACACCACCCCAAGTCCAACGAAAATCCTTACTCCTCAAATCACGGGTCATAAAAATAGTCCCACCAAAACTGAGGTTGGCAACACTAACATGGATCCTCGTCTATTTCTAGAGGTGGAACAATAGAGATGAAAGGACATCGGCCTGCAAGAGGGCCTCACTCGGTTCCCTACAGGACATACCTCAACTAGAAAAAAATGGTGCTCTGCTCAGAAGAAGAGACAGTACTTTCTCTGGCTTATACAATATGCTACATGCTGGGCTTAGCAGAGGTGGGGCAGCTGGCTACTGGGCCTCCACAAGTCAGCATCAATGCTGGGGTTTAGTAATAAGGAGCAAAAAAGCATAGCAGACATTACCCAAACTGCATGCAAGTGGCTTTTTGCTGGCCACACTGCGGGTGGAGAAGCTCTGTTGAGGCCATGGGGATTCAGGCTGGCTCAAACGCCTGAGCCAGGCTGAGCCATGCTGAAAACATGCAGACACTCTCACACCCAGTCACGTAGAGGACATCACTGAGTTGGGAACTCAAACGAGCGTTGGCTTATAAATCCTGATCTCATATTCAACATACACAGTCAGCTCTAGAAATCCTCTGCGGTTTCCTAATCCGCAGGTGGTGAACCCCAGGCTCCTCCTAGAGGAAGCAGTGGGTGCAGGCCCAGGAAGAAGCAGGAGAGGAGAGAGGTCTGCACTCTGCTGGTTCCTCCGATTAGCACCCAGGACTGAGTCAATCGTTTGCATCCATGATAAGAGGAACCCCTCACTTCCCATGCAAGTTCAGACTCAGAGTACCAGGCTGGAAGACGCTTAAGGGCCCTCTCAGTAGAGAATGCCCTCCAGCATGGGCCTCGGCCTCAGCTTCCACGCTCCCCTGCCTATTGATGCGACACATATTGGCCTTCCATGCCCTCCCTGCTTCCTCTCTCTCTCTGACCTGTACAACCTCTGTGCTCCAGTCGAACCAATGACCCACTGCCTCCACCCTGAGCTTTGATTTGTCCACCTCCATATCCCCCTCATGCCACTGGCAAGGCTCAGAATGACATTCAGCTGTGATAGATCTTGAATTCATCCATCCTCCAAGGCCCAGGTCCAGTGCCCCCACGGCTCTCTCCTAGAGCCCTGTAGCCAGCCCTTCCTCCTCTCAGTTCCCTGGCACACTGCCTGCCTCCTTTCCACCCTGCATCTCTGTCTCCTGTGCTGCATCTGAGTGTGTGCAGGCCCGCCCTCCCCTGGAAGGAGCAAACACATCCTCTCCACTTCAGGAGTCCTCCAGGAACCCTGCAACCAGCCTTGCTGAACAAAGGCGTGACGGCACAACATCTGAAGGGCTCTGCTCAAGGGGGGCTCACTCAACCATCTTACATGACATAGTGTCTAGCTTGGTTTTCCGGGCCTTTCAATGGCCTGAACCTCTGAAATATATTGTAGGTCATTCCTATCAATTATTCTAGATTTGAAATGAATCAAAATATCTTAGTCAAACCCACTGCTTAATTTCAATTCCCACTTTTACCTGAGGCATGGATGGCCCCAGGAAGAGTAAAAGCACATCTGTGGGAAAAGTACATGGTAAGAGAGACATCTTGGTTGACACTGGCGATTAATTACAGTGGTTGACTGAGCACTGGGTCTTCCTATGGCAGAAAGTGCACTGGGGTGCCTAGTGTCAGTGTGGCGTACCAAGTGGGTGGGCTCCAAAACAGACACACTGATTCGCAAGCCTCTTCACACTGCTCAGAACTGGTTTCTCCCCAGCCCCTGATGGGCTAAGCATCTAGCTCCCCACGGCTGGCACAGGTGGGAGACACGTCAGAGAGCAGAAGGGTGGAGAGGGCCCTTGCTCTTCAAGTTCCTGTCCAATAACACTGCTCACTCTGAAAGGAAGGAACCACAACTTTGTCTCTTGTGAGGCAAGGTGAATATGTGTCTTACCTCACTCTGTGCCTGCATAGAAGGGGCTTACTGAATTCCTGAGGTGACCTGTGAGTCTGGCTGACCCTCCTCCCCCATAAAACCATGTGACTAGATACAAATCTAAAACCCAAACCTCAGGCAGGAATTCCGAGGCAGGTAAATGCCCCTGTTGTCTCTCATGTGCAGGCAGAAGGAACTGGATGGCTGAGAAGGAGGCCATCCTTCTCACAGGCTGGGTCAGAAGGCAGAAATGCCTGCTGCTGGGCGGGCATCTGCGTCACACACAAGTTCTCTCTGGTCAGGACTAGGAAGGGTGCTACGTACTATTTCGTTTGCTTTCCTCTCCTCCTTCTTCCTCATTCTCAGGGTCAATATCTTCTGCTTGGGTAATCCAGTCCAAGTAGCCCTTTAGATCCTCTTCTAGCTGCTGCTTCTCCCGGAGCTTCTGGAAATCTCCCCGTGCTTTAGCTTTCTCTCTTTCCTTTGAGAATTCTCTGAGGGAGGCAAAAAGAACAAGCACATGTCAGGACCTCCTCCAGGGACCCACTGCATGAGCCATCTGCCCTGCGGCACAAGTCTTGTGGCAGGACACATGGCACTGAGTACGGCCACAAGAACATAGCAACAGGGGCCACACGCGTGGACAGACATAGGACAGTGTCTTCCCAAGCAAGACTGTGGTGTCAGAGTTGCAGAGACCACATCGACACACATGCACCATCTCTTAGAAGATGATCTCCCTTCAGGATTTCAGAGATCCGAAGGAGCCAGGCCAAAAACACCATGTGCTGTCATGGCAGGCCTCTTGATTTCCCCCATCAGGGTTCTGCACTCGGAAGTGTCCCACCTCCCCCAGAGCCTCCTCAGAAAGCAGGAATCACACTCCAGAGAGAAAGGAACTAGGAAGGCCAAGCTGTGGTCAAAGAGAGCACCAAGTTTAGTGCTTCTGTAATACTTTCAAACAGCATTCCTAATGTGCGCTGACCCCTTCGTCCAAACCAAGAGCCCTGAGAGGCGGAGCAGTTCTACCTGGAGCCCACGCTAGGCTCCCCTCCCCACCTGCAGGTTCTGGCAGAGCACTGGACAGGGTCAGGGCAGACCCACCTCACAGCCCCATTCTTCCATCCCGGGTAGGAAATGGAGCACCAGTGAAACAAGACTTTTTCTTAACCCTCGCTTCTTGCCATGATCTTTCCTCTAAAAGTCTTCCCTGTAGGAGGTGAAGAGGCAGTGCGATTTGTTGCCCATTTATGGGAACACCTGCCCTGGAAAGGCTTTGGCAGACGTGTAAATGTTCCCAACTGGTCGCTGTTTACTCTGTCTTTCGTGTCTGCAATCCTATATCTATGCACATATACAGAATCCCACATTTGCTCAGCAAGTCTGAGAGTCAGGTGGATGATTACCCAATTTTCATATACAAGGAACCATCTGCATTCTAACTGTGAATTGTTACAGGAACCAAGTTAGGTGAGTTGCAGATTTAGTGATAATGATTAAAAAGCTGCTAAGAAAGCGGATGAGATTTCATGCAGTGCAGCTTCTGCACACAGACCCCTGGATTCTGACGGAGGTCACATCTGCCTTCCTTCTGCCTTCCTTCAAATCCAAAGCCAGCACATCTCCCTTTCAGTAACCTCATTAATCCAACCCAACTGACAAAAGGGGAAATGATCTGCTTACACAAAGCCAAGCCCTATTCCCTCTCTTCCCTCCCCTCTCTCAACTCTGGGCTGTCCAAAGGCTGAACAGATACCTGAACACCTAGTGACGCTGATACTCCAGATGAGAAACTGGAGTCCTTGCCAAGGTTTCGCCCTCTGCTCACAGTTAGAAAGGACTACAGTCATTGCTCCTTAACCACCCACTCTTCTGATGCTCCGGAACCTGTCCATGGCTCTCTTAGGGCTGGTTCATGGCCACCTTCACCCTTTGGGAAGTGAAGAGGGGCTGCAGTGCATCCTGGGCCTAGTTCACAGAGGAGCCAACTCCAAGGATTTGCAAAGTTGGTGAAGACCCAGAGATGTTTTCTGCACTCTCAACCCAGGGGACTTTCCTCCTGGGGGAGAACACCTTCTGTCTCAAAAAAAGAAGGTATGTAAACCATACGCCAAGAACGATTTGAACCTTATAGGACGCCCTGGCTTCCTGAGATACAGGACATGCATAACTCAGTCCTGGGTAGGCGGACCAAATTAATGTGAACTTTGAAAAAGCCACACCCAATCCAGAATCACATCCCTAAACAATAAGTGGAGGCCTTGGAGTGTCACGTGTCAACATGAAAATACATTATGTAATCTGTTTTCTTAAAATACATTGTAAAGAACAGGTATTTGGGCTTTCAATTCTATTGTTTAGCAAAAGTATCCCAGTACAAATTTTTTTTGCATGTTTTGATTCTGAACTTCGAGTACTAAATGTACATGATTACGTACATACAGGATATTCTTATTTTGGTTACATATCTGATCTGAGTTCTTGAAAAAATATTACGAAGATAGTAAAAGAGTTACCCTGCAAAACTTAAGGGCTTTATAAAAGGGAGTTGTGCTTTAATATTTACTTTATGAAGTTTTTTTACATTAGAAATACAAAAACCTCTAACGAGCTGTATCGCTGTTGCACATTCTTGGTTGTTGGAACATAGTAAAGCATGCAGAGGTAAATCCTGCTATGACTAAAATTTCTGAGAATAAAAAACACTGCCAGGTCCTGGCTTATAGCCCAGTTAAATAATATTCACTATTACAAAAGTTTCATACAACAAAACTTGTTAATGTAAACCTTCTGAACTTATTTTAGACAGTTCTGAAAGGCTTAATACTTAGCAGGCATGTAACGTTTACTGTCTGGGACAGAACTGTGATTTACGAGACATAAATCTCCTCCTCGAGGAGGAGGAGGAGCAGGGAGGTAAGATCTCTGTGATAAACTCAGATGCCTCCTCGGCACTCCAAGACCACACTGCGTTCTAAATCTAAAGGCCTGAATTCTAGTCCCAGGTCTGTTACTTTTCTTTTCTAAGCTTCAGTTTCCTTATGTGCAAAACAGACATAATACCTGTTCTACTTTTTCACAGGGATTAAATAAAATGTTCAATATGATGATACCATGAAAATCACAAAACACGGTACAAATGTGAAGTTCGATGTGTGATATTTAGTTGCTGAATCTGGGCATTAAAAAAGGGCAATTGGAGGAGCTTTCTCAAATACCAAAGGGAGAAAAATTGCAAATAGCTCTAAATGGACTCTAAGCTGCATGATCCAGCACAACTGAGAGAAGCACAAAAGGACACATAAGATTCTGTTCTCCAAGTGACCTGAATGAGCCTGCAAATGCCCTATCGACCCTGTACTGGTATCACTCTGTTGAAAATAATTCATTCTCATCACAACAAGCTTTCCATTCCAAAAAATCTGAGTCCACTCAACCTTGTATCAACCTCAATGGATCATGAACAGCTTTCCATTTTGTGTAAGAATTCGTCGTTTTAGAAGCCTATTATTAAGAGTCACTATTACAAAAATTGAGTTAACAAAGCTGTTGGTAAAAAACATCTGACTTTTACAAGGGAATAGAAATATGACGATTGACGATTCGCATGTGATAGAACACTACTTGTTCCAGAGCAGAAATTTGTTTGTGGTGCTTTTGTAGCCAAATGAAAAAAAGATCAGAAGAGCTTGGACAAAAAAACACACAGTATGCTACTCTTTGTGTAAGAAAAAGAGGAAATAAGAAAACAGGCATATGTTACTGCAGGATGTATCTGAAGGACAAAATGGAAAATAAGGGAGGGGAACAAATGGAGTAGAGGGGATAAAGCAGAAGCGACATTACAGAGTATGCATTTCTTTTTAATTTTGGAATGTTAATGTTCTACGCCTTAATTTTTTTTAATTAAATCAACAGAGATGGGATGGAAAATACCTGTACCGTGGAAATGAATTAAGTGAATCTGAATGTATTTCAAATGAAACCATAACCATATTGAAAGACAAAGACAGAAGCAATTCAAGTAGCTTCTGAACATTCAACTGCTACTGTCGGTCTTGGGCAGGGTGAGGGAGGAAGCACAAGTGCTGAACTCTTTTTAGAAGCTTTGTTGGTTTCTTGTGGTGACGTGGAGTCAACAATGCTGAAATTATCTCAGATGTATTACAGGACTTGACAAACGAGTGTGTCAATGCTGTTGAGAGCCAGGGTTCTCCCTGGAAAGAGGAATATAGAAATGTGGAAGGGAGAAAGGCTAGAAAGAACCCTGGGGAGATGGACTGGAACTGGAGGGACTGGTGTGAATTCATGATTTCTAAAAGATATATATATGCATGTATAAACCTAAGTATGTGAATGTATATATTTTCTAGCTTTATTGAAAAGATCTAGAAGCACAGATACACTTGGCACCCAGATCTTCATCTCTAACACCATTTCCTGTTAAAAGGAACCAGCAGTCTTTCGGGAAAAATGGCTGCTTCCAGGGCTAGAGCAGGATAGGTACAAAATGAAACAAGAAGTGCTAAAAAAAAATAAAATAAAATAACAAAACAAAAGCATGATTACGGTATGCCCTTATGACAAAGGAGCCAGAACAGTACCTCTCACTGGTCAAACCTGTGATAGTTTGAGCCCCCAAAAAACTAAAGACAGTAATAAATTACAAAATTTTTAAATCAGTCCACATCCCTTATAATTATATAATGAAAATCAAACGAGATAAAACATTAAAATCAAGTGAATTCAATTTAAGAGTACGTGAATTGTTCCCTATGCTATTTTTATCCTTGTAACTTTTCTGTAGTTTTGAAATCACTTCCAAATAGAAAAAGATTTTAAGTGTTTGGAAACTGTAACTGTAGTAATCAAATGCAAATTTGTGTTTTATATATTCATTTCTGCTTACCAGCTAGGTTGTAGTCTCCCTGCAGAAATGAACAATGTTGTCCAGTTCTTTTGTTTTTCTCTCCACATTTCTGCCTCCCTCATGATGCCTCCCTTTAACCAGCCATGTATGAAGTCTGAGTACAAAAAAAAAAAAAAAATGCACACAACAAAACAAGCCCTACACCTTAAGAGCCCAGAATACATCAGCACAGAAAGCCCACAGTTCCTGGGCTCCCCTAGAAGTATGAAATGAGCATGTCAGAGCCCAGACACACCGTCTGGAGCAGCCTCCACCACCAGCATGCCATTTTCCTGCCAGCTGGACAACAACCAAGCATCTTATAGTGGCCGGTCTACACACACCTCACCCACTGAGGCAGCTGGAGAAGTCGCAGCCAGCACGTTTCATCAGGGTTTGCCTCCTCTGCTTCAGGTTCCTACCACAGACCTGGACTTCATCCTGGCATTGTCCTGCTCAGAATGCTTCATGGCTCCTCACTTCTGCCCCCTCAAGAATCAAGGTCAAATGCTTCAGCCTGGCCCTCATGGCCTTCCAGTCTTCTCCCACATGCTATTCCAGCTTAATTTCCTTTTATTATAAATA